GTTACGGAGTTATGACCGTTTTAAACTCAGAATACAAGGCAAAGATTACTGACAATAAACGGAACAAAATAATAAACCAGCATAATACATGATACATTTAAAGTATGAATGTAAAGTTAACTTCGTCAAATTACATTTAATTTGAATTTATTGGTGTTTAAAGCTGATTTTCGAAAATGCCACTGCCGGCCGCAACACAGGCTGCCGCTGGGTTGTGAACCGCGCGGGTACATACCAACCCACCACGCCTTAGGTACCTGTCAAGGGTCGAGATAACGAGAACGCTCTGTCTGTAGCTGGCTAAAAATAGTACTTGCCAGATGATAGACGCGGTTCACACGAGGGCGTGTACGGCAATGAACAAACGGTCATAACTCCGTAACCGTCCAAAATCAGACACATGTTCATATGAACTTTTTTGATCACAAAGACCTAGGAAATCACCTCTTGCAGTTATACCCTAAGTCGTGAAACACCCAGTATATACAGGGTGTCCCAGACTTCAGGAGGGTGTTCCTTATGTTAAAGTATGACGATATAACCCAAAACACCTATGACCAAAGTTGAACGGTTACGGAGATAATGGGCACATAAGTGTGACATTTTGACAAGTGTTACACACTTGTTGATTACCAAATACATATTAAAACTGGCTGGAATATGTGGTTTCTGTAATGTTGATAATGTACGTAACATCAAACTAACTTGTGAGTGACATGAAGCCATTAAATTGAACTACAAAAAAAAAACTCGCACGCTATGTCATAGTTGTCCTTAGGGTTCCAAGGACTATACATGACACATGAATGGCAAACGCTGACGTAACATGGCTGACTGCGCATTCTGGTATAAGCCGACTACATAACTGTACTAAACATACATTCACAGAAAATCTCTTTTGGAATTTCGTTACCATTATCTCATGTGGATTATTATGGGATCACATATGCACATTTCGTATATTATTTACACCGTCCAGGGCAAAAGACGCGTCATCACTGAATAAAATGACGCTTAACAGTTCGGGATGAGCTTTTATCCAGTGGCGCAAATCCATACGCTGAGCATGGTCGCCTGGTTCCAGATGTTGTACCCTTTGATCATGGTAAGGATACAACTCTTCATCATGTAAAGTTCGCCACAGCTGCATACGTGATACGCCGATGCGAGCAGCACGTGCATTGCCACCGCAAAAACCACACACAAAATGCATATCACGATATTCCACGTGTGAAAACACAAAAGGCTTTTCAGCAACTCCCCACAACTAACCTACCAACCATTCACAACGCTGCTGCAACGTACCCTGGAGGAAGCCGTCATCACCACACTCAAGGACAAACATCGATAAGACTGGTCACTGACAGGTACAGTTAATGGACCCGCCAGAAGACCACACTTTTCTCGGGACATTATCTCCGTGACCGTTCAACTTTGGACATAGGTGCTTTGGATTATATCGGCATACTTTAACATAAGGAACACCCTCCCGAAGTCTGGCACATTCTGTATATACTACCACAGTCAATAATTTCGTGGACTGGCCTCAAAGCGTCGTTGCAGTGCACTACAGCTGATATGTTGAGACACGATATGATGCCCTATTAGTTCTTCTCTCGTCACAGCAAGAGGCAGTTGTGTGCAAACAGTGTAAGCAGAAATACGGCCTCTATTGTGAACTGCAGTTACATGCGAATGGCGGAAATTGAAAATGTTGTAGTTTGAAGAACGGGCAAACATCAGGTTCTGCCATAAATTTGGCAAATCCCCTAGCGAAACATTTGGCGTAGGAAGAATTGGCTGTTGCTACACGACAACGCCCCTGCACATCGCTCTGTTCTTGTCCAAGAGGAACTGGCAAGGCAACAGGTCACCGTTTTGCCACACCCTCGGTACTCACCTGATCTCGTACCATTCGACTTCTTTCCCTTTCACCGCTTGAAAGCAAAGCTATGTGGTCGTAGATTTGAGACGTCTGAGGAGGTCGTCAATGCCACAAGAGACGCCGTACGGGAATTTCCCGCCAATATGTTTCAGCAATATTTTCGGCAGCTATATCAACGTTGGCAGACTTGCATAGCGGCCAACGGCAACTATTTTGAGGGTCGATTTGGATCTGTGTAAGTGTATGTGAATATCTTGTAATATGATGCTACAAAACCACAGTCCACGAAATTAATGACTGTACCATGTATATATCTATATAAATAAAAATGTAATATAGTAATAAAGAAATAATGCTTGATAACAGAGCGTCAAAGCAGCTCCATCAAAATAAACCGAAGGGCGAAATATTCCAGGGATATCTGACAAAAATGGAAAGAAAATGTTCAATTCTTGTGGCTGAGAGAGAGCCGATCACAGT